TATGATTAGCAAGCTTTACAGGTTATTTGTGATACAAAGACAAAAGTTCATCCTCCAACACTTGGATATTTAGCACCACAGTTCTTAAAAATCTCAGAAACCACCACTGCCATTTGATATGCACACTGTCAGTTCTCACAATTGCCTCTCACTTTGCCTAAGTGGGATCTGCTTTGTTTGCAAAGCTTCCTGTATTATACAGAAGAGCTCTACAGTTTAGTCTTACAAGTAGTAGTTCAGGAAGTTTAATTACCACAGGCAGATAGGCTTATCACTGTCTCTATCACCTTATTTAAACAGTGTCAATATCATTTCTCATTAAAAGCTGAAGTATTCAACTAAATATCAGCACCAAGCATGCCCTACTCTACCATGTCAAAATACTTCTCAATAAGAGAAGTTTCCCAAGACACTAATTTTACTCTTCAGTCATGTTTGCACCTTACTAACTTCATTTGCTGAAATATCTTTTGACTTTTATCTAACGACACTGAGAGTCTTCTCGAACACAACCATTTCAATGCACTTTTTCCTCAAGTATACACTTGAAGCAAGAATCCCCTGCAGGCGTGCACTGATTTCACTTAGAGACACTATGACCTCAAACATTATACATGTGACTTGTTTGCCAAAAATCTCTGCTCACCCTGACTCATAGTTCATGTATGCAGTGTGCAGATATCTGATCAAGTCATGTGTAAAGAGCACACAGCTTTCTTTGCAGGACCTGCAGCACCCAGTCCGTCAGGGACTGATACACACAAATCTCTGCTTAACTCCTGCACTCATATAGGTGGAGCAAACAAGATAGGAAATCTCTTCCCAAGCTAAATTCTGCTTAAAAACTAATTCATAAAAGCTTTTGTTACACTCTTTGACACCAGGTTATGCCACATTAGTCAGAATCCTCATAGCTTTTGATTCATCTCAAAGTTTACAGGATTTAAAAGACTTCAGTATTAAGCACAAACAAGTTTTGCTTTTAAAACAAAATGACAGTTGCTCCTTGTTGGGTCAATTACCAAATCCACTTGCTCTGCAACTAAATAAACTCTCTTTTTCCACTAACAATTTGGTTTTCATGTTACACAACAACTTTCTCTTAATGTACTTTTAAAGACAGGATCACACTATGAAAAGAGCTCCTTTCAGAAACTTAGTTAGTAGCTAAGTGGAGTATCTATCACTGAACAGCTACCACACAGACCTGAAGAGAACTTGGGGGTAATGAAGCTTTAGCATGGCACTCAGTACCACATGCACTTCCCAGGTGTTTGAAAGGATCTCAGTCTTTTCTCAGTGTAGGCCCGTCCTGCCTAAAAAGCAGGGTTAACACTGAACTAAAATCAGCCTGCTAAAGACTTTGAGGACTTCAAAACCTCCAGGAGCAACAATTCCAATGTCTCTGGCCAACAAATACTTAACCATCCTTCAAATTAATTTTTTCCCTTATACTTGGTTTTCTGTCCAGTGACCTCTCCTGCTCCTTTTTATCATCTGTTCCCCATTCTTCTCTCATGAACTTCTGAAAAACTCTGACTTCAACTCCTCAACCAAAAAAATAATCAACTTGCCAAGCCCTTGGTCTTGTTGAGCTACAGCAGGTACGTCACATCAGAACTGATGCTTTCAAGCCCTTCCCATTTCCCAGGTACCCAACAGAATTATACATTTCCCACGTGATACTGAAGCATTGAGGAGAGCAAACAACATCTAAGTTAAGCTTTAACAAACACAGGAATCCCAGCAATCTCCCTGACAACCTTAATTTAGTTTGTTTCCCTTCATAGAACAAGCATACTTTTAAACAAGCAAAACAAGCATATTGCCAAACCCATCTAACTGCTCACTGCCACCTCATGCCAGCCTATTCCCAGGGCTGGCATGAGACCAGATGATTGTTTGCCAAAACAATTTAGATATTTTCTGCCCATTTCATTGTAAACAAAGATAATGACAAAAAACCCAGGCTCTCATTCCCACCTCCAGTCCTTGAGCCAGCAAGAAATGAAGAAAAAAACCAAAACATTAGATAGACATTAAAGTTTAGTATAATACTCCAGTTTACACACTACTGGGATAAAAACTGGAATTAAATTCTCATGGTGCAGTTCTGTCACAAATTTTATGAAACTTGAATGCCTGTACAAATTCAACAAATTCTATGAAAACTGAACGCCCCTCCAAATTATATAAAGCGGCAAATTACTGAATTAGTAGTTCTGATATAGCTCATCTTTAATTACTTGTGTATGTGTATAATCATCAATTATCTTACAGAGATATATTTGAATGTATTGTTTTCTTTTCTAGCACAGATCCTCTCTTGACAGCCCCGCCTGACATCCTGGCAATCAGGAATAAATGCCACTGATCAGCCTTCAGTCCTTAAAGACACCCAGCCAAACAAACCACTACACTTCTGCAGGCCAAGCACCACTGCCCACCTCTTAGTTTCAGATGGAGAGCAGGGGAAAAAAAAAAACTTCCACCTTTCTATTCTAGTTGCTTTTCCCTCGGAATAATGCCTTCAGTTTCCTAGCTCCCTGTCACCCAGAGCCATTTTTAGTCTATCATCTAAAAATCATTTCCCTTGACTTCTTCCCAATGATTTGCCTAATTTCAGCTCCTAAGCCAGGAACCAAAAATATCTGTATATGTGCAGCTATATGTAGCTGCACACCCTCTCCCACCAAGCCCCTGTTCAGCACTCCCCTGGATGTGTGAAATAAGTTCTGGGAAGGAGACACGCTCCTGTCAGCACACTTGGAGCTCCCTGAATTACACACAACACATGACGCAGTGCAGGTTGATTCATCCCTATAACTTTATCGAAACATGATGAATTGTAAGTTATGAAGATGAACCAAGAAAATGTCCACACCCAACTCTGAGAATTTTGTATATTAAATCAGTGACAACTCAGTACTAGAACAAATAGTGTGGCGTCTCTACCAGAAGTTCCAAGTACACCTTCATCTTATTTGCTCAGTGAAGGGAACAAGGATGAGGTACCAGTAAGGCTGCACTCTGAGTACCTGAAGATATCACCAGCCTCAGCAGAACCGATTCCTCATCCAAAATTAAAGCCAGAAAAATACAGTAAGATTATTCTGCTATATAATGTATGAAGCCTTTCCCTGATTACAGTCCTGTTCTTCCCTTCCAAACCCACAGCAATAATTGATAAAGCTGGCTGTCCATTCACACCGGCCAGTTTCAAACACACTGAATCCCATCCCTTTCCTTCCTCAGGAGTAATTGACTCTTCAGGTCAGTTTCGCACACACCTGTTTCCATTCATACCACTCTGCTCTCCCATTCAAGCCACTCACTCATTTATATCATCAGAGGCCAATCACTTATCTCAGAAACACCTGACTCAAGCAACATATCACTGCTCTGATCCATGGGTTGCTCGTCTGCAATCATCTTACCCCCTCAAGAAACAAAATCACATTACTGCGAATGAATACTAACGTAATGTTCCTTTTTCCACTAAGTGTAAAAATAAAAGACTTCCATAGTAATTCTAGAATAACTGAATAGAGCATGCAATGGAAATAGTTGTTCTGCTCAGTCCAATTTTGAGCTCATTTTACCTTAATTTTTCAAATAATACAATTTTTTCAGAACAGAGTGTTCTCTTCTGCTACAGCAAAATTCAAATTCATGTCCACAGTTTCCAAGAGAAACACTTTCCTGTGTGATTTTTAAATCAGTTCCCTGCAGGAACCTTCAAGAAGCCTTCAAGTAGCCTAGCTACTCTAGCCAGGAAATAGTAAAGATAGTACAAACATAAACAAACACTTTGTTTATATGAAATTGATTTATGTTTATGCTACACAAGGAAACACTAGTTTGTTTCCAATAACACCAAGGAACAAAACAAGACACCATATCTGGGTATCTTTTGCCAAAATATTTAATTGTCACTTTTAATACAAGTGCACTTCAAGTCAATTGGAGTTCCTCTGAAACAATTATAACTTTCAGTAACTTTTCTATGCCTCGTTCCTTACAAATTTAACAACTTTCCCACACAGTTTCTAACTTAGTTTTCAGTGGCAAAAAATACCCCACACCGCAGTTGCCAGGCTGATCAGCTCAAAGCTCTACACTCGATGGAAGGAACACAAGATGGGAGCACTTCGATACTTAGTTTTATCAATAGCTGCGAAAACGCTTGCAACAGATTAAATAAAGTTTGTAACTAGTACTAGTATTCAGGATGAATGGGAAGCAAAGTTTTAAGTGTCTGCTACACTGTTGCAATTGCAAACCTAATAGAGAACTGAGCTAAAATGGGCTGGTTCAATGTTAGAAGAAGTAACACAAGTACACAATCGAAGGTAACACTGTCACATTAACTATTTTCGCTGCTGGGGAATATAAAGTGTGATATAATCCAGTGATGTTGGCTTTGAAATCTACCTGTGCTTCAACTGCATTTGTAAGTAAAAATATCTTAAAAATTAAAAGGCACAGGCATAACCAACAAACTCTACAGTCCTAAAGAGGGTTTGTGTTCCAACCTGCGTGAGATCTTCCCAAAAATAGGCTGGGAAACACAGAAATCCTTACATTACGCTCGCATTAGCCAGGAAGTTCCATTGGGAAGCACGTGGTTGGCGTCCCGATCAGAAGCATTCTGGATTGTTCAGACAGAGCCAACCCCACCCTGCGATCTTTCACTGGGGCAGAGCACAGGTTACGCCGGGCAGAGCAGCGCTGTCCCCTGTCACAGCCATCGCCGGGAACACGCGAATTCCCGGCTCCAGCCGCCACCCCTCCCGTGGGTTGTCACCTGCCTCCACAAAGAGCCCCCCAGGACCCCCCCCGGAACCTCTGCGGGGTTTCAATCAGACAGGGCGCTCCCCTCCCTCCGTGCGCACCGCATTCCCCGCGGGGAACACCCGAGCGGTGCCCGAGCCTTCTTCTCCTCCTCCTCCTCCTCCCCGCGCCCGGGCCGTTCCCTGCAGTCCCCCGGCCGCGCTCACCAGCTTGGGCTTGTTCCGGCTCTCCTCTTCCGCGGCGCGCCCGCCTCGCTTCGGGTTCATCCTGCCGGAGCCCGGCGGCTCCTCGCCGCCGCCGCCCGCGCCCGGAGCCGCCTGCCCGTCCATGGTGCCGCCGCTCCGCTCCGCTCCGCCGCTGCCCCGGGTCGAGCTCTCACGGCCCCATCTCCCCCCCCCTGCCCTCTCCGCTCCCCGCCCGGGGCGGCTCCGGCGCCTCCCCCGGACCCGCTTGCCCGGCCGCTGGGACGCGCACGCGCGAGGGCCCGCCCGGCGCCACCGCGCGTGAGCAAGCGCGTGCGCGTTGCGGGGCGAGGCGGGGGGGGGACGGGGAGGATGAAGGGAGGGGGGGGCAGGAAACGGCGGAGCCTCCGCCGGGTCCCACCTAAACACCACCCACCGGGGAGGTGGGGCGGCAGGGAGGGGTGGGCAGGGAGCGGGGAGGGTCGGTGGTTTTGTCATGGCATCATAGAACGGGTGCGAATGGGGTAATTGGAACCTTGGAGATCGTCTCGTTTCACTCCCGTTCCGCGGGCAGGGACACCTTCCACTAGAGCACCTTCCTTCAGCCTGTCCTTGGACGCTTCCAGGGATGGGGCAGCCACAGCTTCTCTGGGCAACCGGGCCAGGCCCTCACCACTGTCACAGAGAAAAAAATTTTTCCTAATACCCGAACTGCTCTGCCAGTGTGAAGCCATTCCCCCTTGTCCTGTCACTCCAGGCCCCTGTAAATAGGCTCTCTCCATCTTTCTTGTCAGCTCCTTCAGGAACTGGAAGGCCACAGCTCAGTCAGCCTTCAGAAGCCTCCTCCAGGCTGAACAATCCCAACTCTCTCAGCCTTTCCTCCCAGCAGAGCTGCTCCATCTCTCTGATCACCTTGGTGCCTCCTCTGGACTTGCTACAGCAGCTTCATGTCCTTCCAGTGCTGGGACCCTGGATCTGGAGGCAGCTCTGCAGGTGGGGTCTCACCTGGGCAGAGTCTCCCCCTCCCCTGCTGTCCAGGCTATGGGATCAGCCCAGACAGGAGGTTTCAGGGCCGAGGCATGTCCAACCTCTCACCCACCACCACCCCCAAATCAAGGCAGGGCTGCTTCCAACCTGTTCATTCCCAGTGCTCCTCCCAGCTTCGCCTAGACCAGGTTCTGGGGGTCCCATCCAGCCTGGCCTCGGTTGGATAACATGGTGCTGTAACTAAATTTCGACTATTGTTACCACAAAATAAAAGAGTTAATTGGTTTTTTCCTCTCAAAATTGAGAACTCCAATCCCCAATACCTGAGTCATCTACGTGTGCTCATGGTTCACAACAAAAAATTGCTTAAACTGTTTCTGTGGATTCCGGAATCCCTTTAGCTGAGTCTCACTGGGGAAACTGAAGGTCTCTCAGAATGGCCTGTGTCAGTGTAGGAAGCAGAAACATGGATCACAAGTCTGGTTATTAAAGGCATCATGTTGACAGACATCCTCATATTAATTGTCATTTTTAAAAGCAAAATACACAAATTTTGTTGGTATAGCTGAGTCTATGCTTGCTAAATTATACTGAGAAAACAGTCATGAAAATGGTCATGATTTGTTGTTTTGGCGGGACAAGGGCAATCCACAACTTGAGAGTTCACATTTAGATACCAATGTATTAGTTGATCGCCCTCTAGAAGAGGGTCCTGACTCAGCACTGCTTTCACAGTGGGCTTGTTCTCTTGAAAAGGCAAGTGACACCAGCACAATGAATTTTCAGATCTCTGTCTAATATACACGGTTAAAAACAGCCTGGGATTCAGGTAGCTTTCTGCATTTCCTGGGGCTGTCTGAGGCTTACCTGAGTACTGGATAAAATATTTCTCTTTTAAATCCAGCAATGAAAACCAGCTGATAAAATCTGACAATACCAGCTTTCAAATAAAATGACAGCTCTAAAACTTGCAAAGATCTTAAAATCGGAGTAGAGTCTTCACAGCAGAAGGTTGTAAAATAGGCCAACTCTGCCTACCTGTTCTGTTCTAAACTTTCCTTTGGGATGCACCTCTTGTTTTTAGTACAAGTTTTCATTTGTTTCATTTTGTTGGCTTTAACTGTAAATATTTGGGCATAGTTTATGATACCATCATAACCATACGTAACTTGGAATTATGAAATTAATCAGAGAATTGATCACTTGTTTGCAGTGTCAGTCAATGTAATGTTATTTGCAACTACATCCATTTGTAATTTACAGGGCATCATTCTACAGCAAGAGTTTAACAATGGCTTGCCAGTTTCAATTAAAAAGAAATGCTCAAATCTGTCTTTTTCCCTTCTCTTCAGTTGTAATAAACATTCTGGGTTTTTTTCTATGCTCCCTCTATTTGTCTGTATTAAGCAACACCCATGACTGGAACACAAAGCTCAGTCATTTCAGAGTCAGAGAAAATGGATAATAATTTCCAACTGCTTGACATCTCTGTGCACAAATTTAAGAGTTTGTAATCCAAACTCTCTAGCACAGGTTGTTCAGCGTAACTCTTAAATGCTCAAGAACTTTTTATCCTCAAATTTTCTGAATTTGCCACAATACCACTCATACTGCTGGATATTGGACTGACATCTAAGACTGACCTCCAAGATTCAAGAGCAGCAGGCACAACATAACAAAAATACTTTGTGGCACGAGTGAAAACAAGTGCACATGGCAGAAATCAAGAAAATTGAGGCCTTGAGTTAATTTAGGTTTTTATGGAATAAAACTCAGATAACATTCATGATCTTAAACAAAAAAGCACTTAAACACAGAAGTCAGATGGAGGGACTACACACATCTTTAGTGCTGGTATGCAGTAAAAACTGTACCTTTGTCTAAGTGATGGAGAAAAGATGTGAAACCATGAGGCTGTAGCTGCATCATGTGATGAAAGAGCCACCCCACAGCTGCTCTTAGTTCCTCTTCCTGCTCTTTGCCTGCTCTCCTGGGACAGATGGCTGCTTGGTTAAGCATAGCTATGCCATTTTTTTAAATTCTAATTTACAAATATTTTGCAAGTCTTCACACAGAGTTTTCACCTGTGGCTTTAAATTGTTGTTTGAGTTGTACAAAACATTGCTACAGGATTTGCTGGAGACCAGCTTTTGAAAAGCTTACTATGAATCAAGCGTCATTAGATCTACTTCACAGCCTCCTCAGCAGAACTTAAAGCCTGCTGAGTTCTTTTTGAAAATGTTTTTAGTCATACTCCTGCATTTTAGTATTTTGTTTCCCCCTCCCCAGTTTTCAGGACCAAGAAACAAGTATTCTGTGTATGAATCATGGACCTATATGAGCATATAAATTCTGCAGGCAATTTTAAGCAAAAGGAGTGAGGGGAAATAAAGTAGCTATCACAATTAGGAAAGTTTAAATGGAAAAGCCCCTCAACACCAAAAGAAAACAAACAAACAAACAAAACCCCAGAAAACCTCCACTCTGCTTAAGGCAACCAAACAAACCTCAGATCATTCTGGCAGACACTTTGCTGTGTAGTATTTTGGCTCAACTCCGAGAGAAACATAGTGTGGCCTGAGGGTGGAAACGAGTAGTTGTACAAACTGTTCTTAACTTGGCTTCATCTCTGAAGCAAATGGATTTTAAAACTATGCCTTTTACAAATATCATTTCACAACACTGAAAACATGTAACTCCAAAAAGCCACTGCTGTGGAGATGCTGACATTTCTCCTTGTGGTTTTGTGTGTAATCTCAATCCTGTTTAGTCACACAACCATGGCAGCTCACAGAGACAGAGGTCACATAATTATCTTAAAGAAAAATTATCATAGACTGATAAACATGCCATATTTTGGGTCTCCCAAAAACATGGTTAATTTTATATCTGACTTGGAACAAAATAGGCTTTGAAGATGACTGACTGACACAGCAGTATAAGACCTCACAGCTCTAACATCCTCCCTCTAAACAGATCAAAAGTACAGTCATACAAGGTTGCAGAAGACATGGACTCCAAGTATATCTGAAAAGGAAAAGGTTTCTGGGTTTATGAGCATTTGTAAATTCAGTGATAGAATTTCCATTTACCAGAGAAGGCATAGGCTTCTGCTTGATAACTTCTGTTCAACCAGCTGCAGCTAACAGGTCACCAAACAGCTATTCAGATTTCAGTCCTGGGAAAATGTTCTAATCTCACATTTCTAGAATTAAAGAAGAAAGTTAACATTGTCCATGTCTTTGTCCTAACTGCACTGGAAGAAAAAAAGTGGGAAATGTAATTGCTCTGTATACTACCACAAGAGAAAACACAGGGTATTTAACTTAACCACAAGCAGGAAATATGTTGCTAAGTCACCCAGTAGTACATTCCTCAACGTTTCATCCAAAAATTCTATGTCATTAGGACAACCACTCTACCACAGAAAACATACCACAATCCTTCCACTACTCCTGTTGAACCATAAACTTTCCTCAAGCTCTTTTCTCTCTTCCTGATCAGTGTCATCACTGCAGTCAGTTTTTACTCTCCTGCCTCCTCCTCCTTTCTGCCATTTTAGTTGGAATCTATTTACATTGAGGAATTAAAAAAAAAAAAGTAAATTTATCTTCAGAAAGAAGTCAGTCTAAGATGGTTTAGAGTGCATGAGAATGTGATAAATAACAAAATCACGGGGCCTCTATCTTATTGTAACACAGAAAATAAGATTAGAAGTATTAACTACTAAGGAATTAAAATGAATGAAGAACATTATTTATATGTGAATAGATAGTCTCTTTTGACAAAATAACCTCACTTCCTAAAAAATACTGACTACTTAATAAATATTATTTATTTGCAAATCTAAATCCAAAGAAAATCCACTCACCAATAAGGTAATTCTAAGAAATACTTGTTTGCTAAAGCTTTATTTAATCTAAAACAATCATTTCCTTGGCCTGCTAGAGGCAATAATTGAACATCTTACAGTGTTTCTGTAAATTAAGTCACAAGAAGTTACCACCATATTTACATAAAATATATTAGTGATTTGAAGGTAAATTAAAACATCCTGTATTAACCATTAAAACAAAGTGATGTTTCACATTACAGTCATGCATCACAGATGTTAATTAAAACCACAGCTAATTCTGAACATGGATAAGGATTACAGCTGC